ATCTATGGGCAAAATTTTAGATCGAATTTTCTTAATTTGATTTTTTCCTTAAATGCCTAGGAATAGGTCATATATGCGATAAAAGAGCCATAATTTTTGAAGGCAGAAAAACGGGAAGAAATCCCTTTAGGGTTTTTACTACCTCAATATACTGGACTAAATGAGATATGAACGAATCAAAACGGGAGGTATCACCTCGTGTGGTTTCCCTCGTCAGGACTTTTGACGTTCGATCTATGTTAACGGCTCTTGCAAGCTTTGAGATAATATTTTTCTTATATGTGTGTACAAAACATCTTTTTGAGCACATGCATATTCTTCTTTTCTTTCTGTTCTGTTCGTTTCGTATTCATTATTTGTACTCTGCTGATATGATTTGACTTTTAGCTTTTCTAATTTGGCTGCGACCGCACTTCTAATTGACTATGCGAGTCGATGGATTGATTTGAATGCTATAGAACAAGTTCGAGGTGATACTGCTCTACATATCATTGTACGAGCTTCGAAATTAAGCCATACAATAGACATAGAAGCAATTGTTGAGCTACTTATCAGTGCACGAGCTCATATTGATTGTTTTGACAATAAGGGTAACACACCACTTGATAGAGTTACCGAACATGAAATGCGTACCCTGTTACAATCGAAGCAAACAATATATTGACTTAAATGTCTTTGTGCTCGTCTCATCGTTGGACACAAACTGGCTTATGATCTGGTATGGTCAATGGAAATACGACTGAACAAATGCATATACTTACATGGTGGTTCGAGAATGAAATCTTAGACTATAAATAAGAAGACTATTTATATCTATTTCAAATTCCATGAATTTGTATATGAACAATTGTTTTCGTTGTTACTCTTTTACGAAAATTCAACGAACGTGTCTTTTTAATTATCATTGCCGTGAAATTCTCGCTTTATTGAAAATACTCGAAAAACCTTTCAATATCATCCCTACGAAATCGCTTTCATTGTGTATGAAGATCAAAAGAACAGTCCCTACCCAGCAAAGCTGCCTCTCGGAGTTGATTGGAAAATACCTTCACCCTCAAGATAGTTTTTATGACAATCTTCGTATTGCTTATTTTCGATTCATCCAGTACAGAATGTGTTTTTCATGTGGAACTACGGTTTCAGAGCATCCTCAACTAGAGAGATATCTGGTGATGTGTCTGTACGATAAATATTTTCGTGGCACCATCATCCTCAGGGAATGACGCATACGTTTATGAAATGTTTCTAAGAAATAATAAATTTTCAAATTTTTAAAAAGCAAAAATTTATCTTTTAGAAAATATTTATTCAATCATTCTCTTCATTTTGTTTAAAACGATCATCAAGTAATTTTTCTAATTTAACTAATTTCTTCAATTCTCCCAGAGATATTTTAGATGCTTTTAAAACACACAAAAAGTATAGAAAAGCTTGTCAGCGCAGCCCCTTCGGGGCTAAAATGTGGAACTCACATTTCTTCTTTAACTTCGTCCTACCAACACAAAATAGGCTATGCGAAAAATCTCTAACAGGCAATAATTCCTTTCCAAAGAAAATCGATCTTCAGACAAACGATTTGTCTTATTTATTTTTAAGTTTCGAAGAGAATTTTTTTCTTTTTTTTACAGGCGCTCTATTTTTTATTTGCTTTGTTGCTATTTAATCGTTATTTATTTTTTTTCTTAAGTTAGTATTAGTTTTTATTCTTCTAACCATCGATTTAACTGATTAATGTGCGTGCTGCACACGTCAATCATATCTACAACAGATCATGATGCGTTATTATGCATCATGTTTAATTCAAAAACACTTGGAATATTCTAGAATATCCGAGGACAATTAAGCCTTGTTTATAATGCTGTTCGACGTATTTTCCCATTGATAAGGAACTATGGGAAAGGGGTACGGAGTTTACTGCCTTCGGTTGCTAAGGGCAGTTTGTACTCGATGACCTTTGACCCTTGACTTCGGTTACCATGGTCTGTAATGGGGAGGGGGGGTACCTTTGACCTCCGTTACCATGGTCTGTAACGGGAGGGGGGGGGTCAAAAACCTCGACTTAAAACTTACACTGACTATTTTCTTCGAAAATATGTGAGTTCCACAAAAGTCGATGTATTAAATTAGAACAGGCGATTCATGGATATGATAACCAATTGCAATACATTCTTTTTTCTTAAAAAATGTTAGCTAGATAGGATAACCCATTTCATCAAAAATTGGACGTAAGCTGAGATAATGAAAAAACTGAAGAAGTGGAAACTTTCCGCAAAAAGGTGTGTCGCTCAATCTCTGCGGGATTAAAATATGAAACACGATATAGCTGCCAGTACTAATTCTTGGGAGACATAATTTGACTGTAAATCTTTCGATATGCTGCCCAAAATAGGAGGTGCACGATTTACTTTCCGCGGATTTACTTTTCATTGATTACAGAAAAATAATTTGTCAATTAGTCATTTTCTTGATTAAGGGTTTACTTTCTGTTGATTAACTTGGCAAAACAAAATAGGTGGTGAAAGTTATTGTGCCAATCAATATATTATTGGAACAAAACTTCAATAAATTTTTCACATGCAAAAAATATTCGTCATTAAGGGAGATTCTTGAGAGTGAGGGTGTTATTACGGGTATGGTTCCTGGTGAGGGTTTTCTGCTTATCCTTATCCTCACTCTCGAATGGCCATTTAAGAGAAACAAAGAGAACCATCTTCACCATTCTCTTGTGAATACCAATTAACTAATCTCTTATTTTCATATTTCTGCTTATTCAATTCTCAATCTCAAAGAATTATTTAAAAGATGAATAAGAGAACCTGTGTTATCATCGATTTGTTAATTTCTATTCAGACTTCCGGCTATTTTCTTTTCTAAACATAAAAAGTAAAATAAATAAATGTGGAAACCTCGGATTTAAATACGAGAGTTATGTGTACTTCAAAAAGTAATAAAAGACTGGAGAGCCAAGTTAGCAGGGACGACACTGTAGGCGACCCTACGTAGTGACTATTGACTCTACTCCCGTAGTAATATAATATCTTTAGAAATCACAGAAATTGAGTTCAAATTCGTGTTCAGCTTTTTCTAACTGGGTAGGAAGAGTTATTTCAGAATGGATTTGTAATTGTATTTAGCGTGATTACGGTTATAAGTAACCTTATGGATCTATGATAGATATACTATAGACAGAAATATCAGTATTTTCATAATAACTCACCAATATTAATAGCTATCGAGCTCGGATTTTTTCTATTTGATAATCCTTTTTAGTAGCTACAAAACCATGCATCTAAAAAGCCTCAAAACCACTACTCGCCTGAAACATATCTAGGTACACTGGTCTCGGGATACAGTTTTTGTGTATTTTGGGATCTTGTTTAGACAACTTTTGGTTGGAAAACTACAATTTGATTCAAAACTAATGCAAGTTTTAAATAATTCTGAGAAAAATAATTTTTTTGAAAAAAATCCCTGTATCCCTCCCTCAGGGATGGATGATAACTTTTTCGATAGCTCAGCCATTTCTTCACGGATCATTCTCATTTTCGAACTCGACCGAGATATTGATGAGGCAATTCTTTGTACAAAATTTCAGCACAATCAGATGCAGCTATGAAGAGTTATCGTGTAAACGGCCAGACACACTGACTGATTCTAGAGTGTACTCATTTTTTGAGCACACAAAAAATAGCATAATTAAAAGAAAAATACCAGTTTAATAGTGAAAAAACTCCCACCATATATTGTCTAAGATAGGTTGGATGTACTACGCTCAGAAAAAAACAAACACACAGAAATATAATGAAATACTCGAATTCTGTTCAAGTGATATTTAAATAATTCGGTGTATGCCCTTTGGACATTGTGAATAATGGTGGTTGATGAAAAACATCAACTACGACTTTTATGAAGATAAAATAGTGAAGAGATAGGAAAAATTAAAGAAAAAAAAAGTCTCAAGATTATATATGAAAAAGTAATTAGTTTTGCAAAAATAAACCATCGTCCACTTTTCATTGTTCTTTTCGATTTAAGCCAACAGGTGATGCTGGTTTATAACCACCCGGTGCATTCAATTCCGGTATATGATGTGTCAATGGGATTAAATTAAGCACCTAGAAGAAATAAAATTTATCAAAAAACTAAAAGAAAATCATTTTACTTGATTCCATAGAAGAACTCCAACACCAAAAAGAAGACAACAGATCCATTGTTGAAATGTTAATGCAACACAAGAAAATACATATGAACCATATTGAACAAGAAGAATTTGTAGAATAAATGTAACAATCCATATTATAATAAAAACTGGATTTCGAAATATTCCAGAAAAAATATTCTTTTCACCATAAATTTTTCGAGAATTTATTCCATTAAATAAATTCATTACGACAAATACATTAAATATCATTGTCAAATGTTGAGATGGTTTAAATATATTATTAACTGGACTACCATCATCAAGATTAAATACTTTAGGACCTTTTAGTATTCAAAAATAAAAATAAAATAAATCTCTATTCGTTTTCTTACCAGCTAATAAAATAAAAAGAAGAACAATTAATTGATAAATAGTATGACCAATTATATTTTTCATCATTCTACGAGATATTAATGGTTGTGTACGTTCATAAGGTTTAGATTTTAATGTTTCTTCTGTTGGTACTTCCATAGTAAATGATAATGATAAACATATATTTATACTTAAATAAATCCATAAGAGTTGTAGATCACGTAATGGAGAATTTTTTATAATCAGTGATCCAATAAAAGCAAACAATACAATGACAACATTAACAGTTAATTGAAATTGAAGACATTTTCCTATTGAATGATAAATATTCCGACTGAACATAATAGATCCGAGAATTGAATACAAATTATCATCAACAAGAATTATATCTGATGCTTCTTTTGCAGCATCAGTACCTTGTATACCCTACAGATTAACTTGATACTTTAGCATAATAAGAAAATAAAAACTAACCATAGCAAAACCGACATCAGCTTTTTTCAAAACAGGAGCATCATTTGTTCCATCAGCAGTAACAGCAACAACTTCACGTGTTGGATTGATTTTTGATGCCATAATACCTTTGACAAGTTCATATTTATCTTGTGGTGATGAACGAGCTAATACACGTAAATTTGGCCAAACTTTATCAAATAAATTTTGTTCAATCTAAAATTTAAAATTTAAAAAAAAAAGAAATTTTATCAAAATCTTTTGTACTTCTCCATCTGGTGTTGATCTTATACATCTGTTAAATTCTTTACCATCAAGCACTGAATTATTATCATCGTTTGATATAATTCCAGACTTAATTGCAATCGATCGAGCTGTATCAATATTATCTCCAGTAATCATTCTTACTGTTATACCAGCATCTTGACATTTAGTAATAAGAACAGGTACCTCCGGTCGTACAGGATTTTCAATACCACATATACAAATACATGTTAATTGATCCACAACATTAGTTTCATCATTCCAATCGGGTAATTTTGAGGGTGAAAAATCTCTATATGCTAAACATACTGTACGTAAAGCGCAAGATCCCATTGGTTCAATAACTGTTTCTTCCAAACTATCATAATCAATAGATGAAAATGGTATTATTTCTCCATTTTGATTTAATATTGTTGTACATTTATTTAAAATAATATCTGATGCACCTTTTATATACATACGTACAGTTGAATCAGGTCGTTGAATAACTGTTGACATACTTTTTCGTATTGAATTAAATCTATAAACATGAATAAATTTTTCTTGTGGATAATTTCTACGTATTTCATCATAACTTCCATTAAGAGCGCCAACAAAATCTAATAAACTACATTCAGTTTTATTTCCAATTTGTTTTGGTAATGTTTCTTTTACTGTTGAAGACTAAAACAAGATTCTCGTTACGAATTTTAAATAAATATTAACTTACTACTGATTCTGATGAATAATCAGTATTAACAGATAAACCTTCAATTATCATTTCTTTTATATTTGCTGGTATACTAATTCTATTAGCTCGACTGTCAACTTCGTGCCAAAGTTGTTCACCAACATAGACTTGTACAGCAGACATACCATCTGTTGTTAATCCGGTTTTATCGAAACATATTGTTGTTACACAGCCGATTGTTTCAAGTGCATCCAAATGACGAACTAAATTGTTATTTATCATCATTTTCTACGAGAACAAAAAATGAGTTTAGAAATAAAATAAATTTAATTTACTTTAACTGCTTGTGCTAATGATATTGTTAAAGTTAATGGTAAACTTTCAGGTACACTAACAAGCAATAATGTTATACCAGTGATTAAATATCGTACAATTCGACTACAGAATTTCTTATTCCATTCACGTCTATAGATAAAATAAATTAATGAAAAAGAATAAATTTTTATCGTTTACCGTTGAACAAATTCTTCAATTAGAAATGGAACCAAGAGAATAAGTACAATTAACATAACAATTCTGATGCCTAAAAGAAAACATTTTCTTTTTTTACTGAGCATAAGAATCACTTAGGGGGAAACAGCGGACTTCAAGGCTTCACCGGACTTCACCCATAGAGACTTCAAATTTTCACAAAACTCCAAAAGACTTTCAAAGATTTCCAAAGACTTTATGAGACTTCAAAAGACTTCATGGGACTTCGAAAGGGACTTCAGGACTTCATCGGACTTCATAAGCGAAGTCCGAGTTGTTTCCCCCTAGAGAGTCACTCCCATAGAAGCCACGACCGACCCTTACAGATGAGCTGTTCTCTTTTGACTTTGCTCGATTTAACGTATGTAGTAGAGAGAAGAATTTTAACAAGCCGTTCGGAAAAAGTATTGTTCCGTTACCGAGACTGAACAATACTTTTTCCGAACGGCTTGCGCCAAAATTGTTAAAAGTCTTCTCTCTACTAAACAGGTTAAATCAAGTTAAATCTGATGACCTCAATTCCGAGATGGGAAATCAAGTCATTGAATGGAATTCTTTTAAATTTTTGTGCTTTAATTCTGCATAAATTTATTGAATTCTTTTATTATGTTATCGGTCGTGACTTAAATGATAATTATAGAAAGACATTTGACCTGCATATGTTATTTGATTAACCAATTTTGGGACTTTTGCTGATAAAGTTAATTGTTCTTCGAATTTAAAACGATCAGAATCATCTTCATTATTTGTTCCATTGTCATTATTAGGTATAACTTCTTGGAATTCAGTTGCATTCTGATTATTCATACCTGCATCTAATTAACAAAAAACAATTTTTCAGTCGACATTATCAAAACAAAAAGCCTTTTATACTTAATAAGTTGAATATGTTTCCCATTTGAGTATGTTCACCCACAGCCAAAACTAACATTTTTCCGCTACCTTCGATAATACGTGTACCTAAACAAAATATATTCAAAATAAGAAAAACAATGAATTTGTTAACCTGAAAGAAGAAATAGATCTTCTGATTGATGTTTTTTAATTAAGTTTGATTCTCCAGTTAATGATGATTCATCGACTGCTAGATTATTTGATTGTACAACAAGACCATCAGCTGGTAATGAATCTCCATGTTCAATTAGACATATATCACCAACAAGAATATCTTTTATTGGAATTTGTTTTATTTCACTTTTTCTAATAACATCAAATTTTTGATCAAGTTCAATTTTTGATTGAAGATCACGAAATTGTCGTTCTTTTATCCAATGATTAAATGTTGTTAAGAGAATAACCACAAGTACAACAATAATAATTCCTATACCTTCAACCCATGCAACATTTATTTCCTCTAAAAAAAATATCTTCGGTCTGTTTTTATTATAAATTTACTTGGTTTTCCTTTACCTTCAGATGTTTCTCCACTTGGATAATAAAATGATAAAGTAAGTAAAATTATACCAAATATAATAGTTTTAATAATTTTAACATCTTGTAAAGCATCAAACATAAGAGCAAGAAATGTTGTTGGTGATCTCAATAGAATCTCATTCCGACCAAATGCAGCTTTACGTCTTGAGAAATCGTTCTCATCGCCAGATAAACCTTATAACAATAAAAATAATCGATTAAAATATTTTTAATTTTATTTTACCATTTAGTAAATTTGTTTTGAGTTTTTGTTCAATACCACTAAGACCACCATATCTTTCATTAAGTTCTTTAATACCCTTATCATCTCGTGTTTGCATTAATGTTTCTAGTTCTTCAATAGAAATTCCATATTCATGCCCTGTTTCATTAGAGCCAGCGGTGCTTTTTTTCTTCGTTGCCATTTAGAATTCGTGATTTATTGATTTAAGATATGATCATAGATAGATCTTGAAAGAAAATAGAAAAAAACTCATTGAAAACGTTGTCTCGTGAGAACACATGAACTTATCCCCTATCATAAAGAGTGGCCCAAAAGTCTTGATACTTCGTAGAAAAATTCACTTTTCTCCCTTATAAAAAATCGAGAAATGCCCAAGTTGGAGGGATAGTTAATCGGTACTGGATGAGTATTCTCCTAAATTTCCATATCACGTATGAAAAACTATGCATTTAGGATAAAAATCAATTACTCCTTATGTTTTTTTATGAGTAAAAACTTTCTACTACCGATTAACTATCTCAACAACTTTGAGCATTTATCGATTCGTCATAAAGGAGAAAAGTGAGTTTTTCTACGAATAACCAAGTCTTTTGGCTCACCCTTTATTACCTGTTCTTATTCCAGCGCATGAATAACTCATCAATGTGTGCTTATTAAAGTCCACTTTGTGTTGGTCGGATCTGATCAGGCCAGTATTCTGAATATTTCACAGACACAAAAGGTTTTGGAAATCTTTTTTCACTTAAAAGTTCTATCAGAAATCATGATGAAGCTACTTATTGTCTGTTTAATGGTGATATAGAGACCTTAGATTGTAGACATGGGAGAAGAAAGAGAAAAACCATCAATTTAATATTGTTCTGCCTATTACGCAATGTCAGCAAGCATTCTACACTCATTTAGCAGACTAGGTCAAATTGACCTTGAGTTCCGATAAAACATCTTTTTCTCCGTTTAAAGAAACAAGTAACACGAATCCAAGGGATTCGCTGACCCGTTTTTGAAAGAAGGAAAATTTATAGTTGTGCGCTTACGAAGAAAATTCATTCCGCAGTCGTAGGTGTTTTTCCATCAACAATATACCAGTTACGATTTCACGCTTGTAATATCGTAACTATTTCTCTATTATGTAAACGCAAAAATAGTACCAGAAACGAGATTTTCATAATAGTGTTACATTTATCAAGCTCAATATGCAATATTTTCGAGAAAAAAAATACCGCATCAGAACTGATCAAGTATTATTTTGAGAACACCTTCATGTGAAGAAAAGGAAAAAAGTCTGTTTTGTTTCCAAAAGAAAGATCATACATGATAGTTTAAACAATATTTCATAGCGAAGGTTCGAGAGTCACATTAAGATGCACAGATAGTTTTACAGTAAATTAAAATATATTGCAACGGAGAAAACTGCAATTAATGTTTAGTGTATACATTTTGTAGACACACAAAAACGATATTTCGAATGCTAAATCACATGTTCTTACACTTTGGAGTTTACTCTACAACGTGACATAAACGTTCATTTCGAATTCGGAAGAAAATTCTTATGCCTGAAGTGGACAAACCGATATATAGATAACCAGGTATACTTACAGTGAAAATAATACTAGGAATGTATTGAAGTTGTTTTTATGTATGTAGGAAGCAAGCTACCTTGCCTATTTATATTCAATAAAGTTGCTTGATTTTTTCTAAGTAATGTTTATTAACGTGAATCAATAGACCGTGCTATTTCATACACACGTTGATGAGATGGTCATGAATAAATGTCTTTCACGCACGTTTTTTTCATAACGCTGCACTATACAGTTTTGTCTTTCCTTTCCATTTTTGCTTGATATAAGAAAAAATAAAGGTGCATATTTTTACGACATAGTCCTTTTATGGGGGATTTTTTTTCACTTTCTTCTTACCGGCCGGTCTATTGCCGGTCTACCTGTTTATTGCCGGTCTACTTGTCTATTGCCGGTCTACCGGTCCTTTACCGGTAGGCCGGTAAACTGGCAACTGACCGACTTATTTATTGGACTTTATTTCATAGAGGCTTCAACCGATTATTAAGTAATATTGTAAATCCGAAAAATTTGAATGGTTTTGAGAATATTCACTATGCGTTTTCCCATAAAATATAACAATTTAATAAAAATAGCAACAGAAAGTAAAACAAGTTTTACCGGTAGACCGGCCGGTCTAGTCCGGTCTGACTTACTCAGACCGATACCGGTACCGGTCGTCGAAATCTAGATCTGTTCCATCTATGGTTCGAATACATTACGTATTTCTTTCTTATCTTTCCATTTTTTTCTGAATTTTGTTTGGTCCATAGATTTATGTATGCACATTCATAAGATTGTTCTTTTTTTCCAATAAACATTTGATAAAGCAATAGAATTTTTTAAGAAGAAAAACAAATCGATAAAAACTTAATTTATTTTCTCCTATTCCAGATATATTTTTTCATAACGATAAAAATATAACAAATAATAATATGAAATGGAACAGTTAATCATTTTTAGCTGTATCACTCTTTTTTACATATTTTTTTTTGTCAAGAAACATCGAATTCGTGAACGATTGATAATCAAATTATCGTCAAGGACAAATAAGTATCAAACATAACGGGTGATGCAAAAGTTTTGCATTAATTTTGTTTCTTTTGTATCTTAATGTAGGAACATTGTAGAGAGCCAAACTTTTTTTTTGAAAGATAGCCCATGATCTCTTCTACAAACTTTGTCTACAAAGTATTTCAATTGGACATAATAAAGTACTTTTACGTCTAAAGCATCTCTAACGACTGAAAGACCCTTCCGTAACTTTTTAAAAAACATGCTTTTCTATTTCCTTGCCATTTGCTTTCTCTAACAAGCGAGAATTTTGAATCCAAATATATGGGTAGATAGCCCATTCAAAACTCTATCGATCGTGCCTTTTATAAAAAAGTTAACTTCTTTTCCGTAAGATTAATAAAAATATTTTCACATGTCAAAATTTGTTAAAATTCCAAATTTTAAGATCACAATTTTTGTCATCTCAAACAATTATTACAGATTGACCGCCGTATATTTCAACAAGAACCTTTTAACATAGTTTTATAGAGAATTGTTCGAGCTTTCTATTGCATGTCAAAAACGTTGAAAATTATTTTTACTGTAATTGAAAATTTGAAAATTCTCTCTATCCTTGATAATTTCGGGTCCAAATCAGTTAGATAATTATTTTTTTTTAAATAGATTGGATAAAAAATAATGTTTATATATTATTTGATAGTGTTCATAAAGGGCTATTAACCCATGCAACCAGATATCTTATCGCGATTTTTCATAACCCATAAGATCAGTTGAAAGTTCATGTACGTTTCCATGTTGCGAACGTGGCTCTTACACAGTCAACACAATGACTACGTAACGTAAAGCCGATATGTCCAATTAAAATACTTCATAGACAAAGTTTGTAGAAGAGATCATGGGCTATCTTTCAAAAAAAAAAAATTTGGCTCTCTCCAATTTTCCTACACTAAGATACAAAAGAAACAAAATTAATGCAAAACTTTTGCACCACCCGTTATGAATAGAAGTTATTCATCTTTCTAAAGTTTCGCAAGATATTAAAATGTTAAATTAAGTATAAGTCGCGCTTATCGTTCGAATTCGCTAATCTTTTTCTGAAAGATAGGAAGATTTGCTGCATCTAAAATAACAAACGATGACTCAAAACTCCGGATGGCTATTCTATCATCAATATAGCCGAGCATTGGGCGTAGGAATTCATCATTCATCTCTATTTCTCTAAAAAAGCTGTCCTCCATCGGAGAAACTTATACAGTTGTCAGAACTTCTTTGATTTCATAACACCATATTACCTGTGTTTGCTTCTTCTTGAAACAATTATACTGCATCATTACAAACCGTATCATACAAAGTTCTGAAGAATATACAGGGTGACCCAAACGTCACTAGTGGAAAATAATTTTGCCTGATTCAACTAGTATATTAAACTTAATCGATTATTTTTTTCCTGTGATAGATATCATCGTCAATTTTTCAGTGATACTGGCAAATTTCAAAAATATTGTTTAAAAGTATTATTTTTGATTGAAATACAGAAATTTATTATTTTACTTATTTTCAAAAAAAGCATTACGTAGGGTCTTTTTTTCTACTGTTTCAATCTAAACGACAGTGCAAGTAAAGGTCAGAATAATGTGAGAAATCGAAGCGATGAAAACGAGGCACTGCATAGTGTTTTGTTTTTTGAACATTAGGAAAAGACTGAATTTTTGTATATCAAGCAAAGATGATACTTCTGAACAATATTTCTGAAGTTTGCCTGTTGAAATAAAAGCTTGACGGTGATGCCATTAAAGAAGAAAAATACTTGATTAAGTTTAATAAAATAGTTGAATCCGGCGAAATTATTTGCCGCAAACGACTTTTGGGACACCCCGTATATTCTTCATTTTGAGCTTAACTATTGCATTCTTAACAGTATGACTTTCTAAAATATGATATTTACATTTCTGCAAGGTTTTTTACTCAATAGAATACGTTAAAATAAATATAACTGAAAATCTTTAGTTGAAATAACTTGATACAGACAATGATAGTTGAGTTGATTCGAGTAGTATCAGTTATTATTTCACACAACTTTCAAAAACACGGTGGATATTTAATAAAAAACTAAGACGAATCTTGCTTTCTGCTAAAACTGCAGTAAAGATGACTAATATTGAAAAATTCAAATTCTACTTGCAGGCATCAGAATGAAGAGCATCACTGTCACACCTCGTATCTTTATTCATGTTATTTTGAGGAACTCACGTATATTTTTGAAGAAAATAGGAAGTGTAAGTTATAAATCTAAGTTTTTGCAGATACCCTATCCCCTTCCCCCTAGGCCTAGCCACACCAGCAGAGGGCGAGGGTAGGTCAAGGAGTATTGGACAGATTTCCATAGTAATGAGGTGGGGTGGGGCGTTTAGTCAATGTTAATTGAATAGATTTGATTAGTAACGAAAAATCGCATGTAACTAATCGCAGTGCTTATATCATTCTGGAGCCATGCTTAACATTGTTTAAGGATCTTACTGTAGATATCAATTAGTAGCGCACCGGACTTATTGATCTAGCAAAGTCATAATAGGATGACCATAGAGAACTACAAATTGATCGAATTTTATGATTAGACAAAACTCAACAATATATGTGAACTAGAGAAGACCCGTGCATACTGCACGGCTGTTTTTTTCCTGTAATGTTTCAAACCTGTGTATTATCCTTGACCGGGAATCTAGGGGTGCAACAGTGAAGGTTATCGGTCTAAGAGAAAATACGATTAACCGAAAACCGGTCTAACAGAAAATACGATATAACGAAAACCGGTTTAGGAGAAAGTACGATATAACGAAAAC